ACATTCTGGTTGTGAAAAGATTAATAAACTGCTAAATTGTACAATCTGTAGTTGACTTTATAATGCCACTCGATTAAAAGAGCCCACACTGAGTAGATGAATTTTATTTCCCTAGGTGTCTTAATGATTGTACAGAGCTGATGAGTAATTTGATTTGTCTTTCAGCTAAGTATTGGGGTTTGTGCTATAAAATCTCCACACTAACTCACATTCAATTAGCCCAGCAGCAGTTCGGCTTTACAGTGCTTATGATTTTAACTGAACACTGCACTGTTTTTCTCAGTTGTCCCAAAAAATTGTTTCATTAATAACTCTGGTGAGATTCTAGTGTGATGCAACAAAATCCTTGGGAAGTTGTAGCCTGCAGATATGCCCAGTAATTCCACTGCATTTCCTAGCGGCATGTACTGCTGTTTTGCTTGCCTGCTTACGCTCGATTTTGCTGTAGGCAGCACTGCCACACTGGGGTAGAAATCTCTCTTTCTGACACATGCTCATTTTGATTTGCTGTCCAAGCTCAGTTTTATTTTAGGTGAGTAGCTCACAGTACAGTCTTGCCATGGCTTGTAAATGGTGTGTTCTCAGTGAGCTCAATCCAGGGGATTGAATGAGAATTTGAAACTTTCTTCCCCTTGGCATGGATAGAGCTGTGTGAATGGTGAGAGTCCTGTACTAAGAAGATGAGTTTCTGCTTCATTCCCTCCCCCCCCCCTTCATTGACAAAACTTACCAGGGCTTCCTTTTTTAGCTTCTTCCTTCAGGACAGACTCCAGAAACTTTCTAGGAAACCTAATTCAAGGCAAAGGCAGTGTGGTACTTGGAAAAGGAGTTTCAGAAATACAGTACAACGGTCAAGAAATGTTGAATTGAAGTCACTTCCTGTGGAAAAAGCACAATATTTCTCGTGTCTTGCAGTTCTCCATTATTGCATACTCTCCAGTTCAATTTTGTATTGCATGTAATATTTGAAGTCCTGTGCAACTTTTCAGAGCTTTTCATTTGGTTATGTAGATTGGTCTTTCCACACTTCAGTCTCTGGATTTCAGACCTGATGGTCCGTTCTGTGTGATACGCGTGCCTCAGCCAGGATTGTCATGCATACTTTATTTGAAGCAGCTGTAAGCGTATCTCCCGATACTGCCCAACACTTGCAGTTTTCCTCGAGTCTTTTTTTTTTTTTTTTTTTGGATCTCAGAAAGGCAGATGAGAGAATTCTTCTCAAAGGTTTTCTGCTTGTCTTTGGACAACATATACCTGCTAAAGTGACTCTGCTGGAAGGGAGAACCTGTTGGATAATTTTCTCCCGACTAGAAGGCAAGAGGTTTGCAAAGTTAGACTACAGGAATGACTAATCTTTATAATACCCCAATCCGCATATCAATTTTTTCCTATGACAAGAGATACAGTGCTGCACTTTTATCTTGGAGAATCGAGTGACAGTGAATGTGGGTAGTGGTTTGGTAGAAAGTGATGAGTGGCTTTTTGGATTTTCATTATGCCATTTGGAGTGGGGCTGGACTGACCTGAAACTAGAGTCAAAGTGATCCAGCTGTGTCAGCCTTAAAAGCTTCTGCTGGCTTATGGCCTGCTGGAATCACAGATTGAATGATGTGACAGTCCCCATTTCACCAGAGCTCTGCTGCTCGTGCATGATATATATCTGACGTGGACTTCTGTGAGTCATAGATTGGTATCTGACTGAGCCCCTGAGTGCTCCATGTGCTTGCTGCTGTTCCTCTTCCTCTCTGTCTAGTCTCATCTTCATCTCTTCTGGTCAGGCCTCTTATTATGTAAAGGTTGAGTGGAGCAGAATTTATTCTCGATGGTTTCACCCTTTCCCTGGGATTCTAACCATGAAGCTTACCTGGGTCCTACCAACATTAGTTTGCTGTTACTGTTTTCAGAGCATGCAGAGTCCTATGCCCTGTCCTCCACCTGAACTGCAGCAAAATATTCATATCACAAGTTAAAATCCATCTTCTATTTAGTAATGCCTAAAATCATAGGGAATTGTTAGCTATGTTTCCCAGAAAGTCTAGCAAGGCTTTCTGTTTAAGAGGCTATGTCAGTTCTTGATGCGGATGTGGAGACTGTTTGCATTGTGAAGACTCTACTGCTTTCAGGTCTGTGATTTTTTTTTTTTTTTTTTTTTTTTTGTCTACTAAACTGTACATAGATCTTTTCCCAGCTCGTCTATCTTTTTGAAGAAAATAGAAGGAGTGTTCAGAGATACAACCTAGATTTTGCGAAATGCTTGGGAGCCCAGTCCCACATAGCATACATAACCTGTGTGTGAAGGTGAGATTTACTCAATGCACATTGATTGACATGGTAAATTCCCGACTATCTGGAAAACTATTCGAAAGACTTTAATTATACACTGCATATGTTTTCCTCTTTGAAATTAAGTTTTATTTTCCTCTGAATTGAAAGACTGTTCTCAGATGTTTGGGACATGTTGCTGGAGACAAGATATTGACTAAAAATATTGTCATTCAAAACTGGACAAAATTACCACTTTCTTTGTTGGAGTAAGGAAGTTAAACATTTGTAAAGCTTGTTCATCGATGACTTGGATGAGGGCACAGAGTGCACCCTCAGCAAGTGTGCGGATGATACAAACTGGGTGGTGTGGCCAACGCTCCCAAAGGCAGTGCTGCCACTCCGAGGGACCTAGGCAGGATGGGGAGATGGGCAGAGAGGAGCCTCAAGAGGTTCAACACAGACAAGTGCAGGGTTCTGCACCTGGGCAGGAATAACCCCAGACACCAGTACTGATTAGGGGTTGACCTGCTGGAAAGCAACTCCGTGGAGAGGGACTGGAGAGTCCTGGTTGACAAGAGGTGACCCAGGAGGCAGCAGTGTGCCCTGGTGGCCAAGAAGGCCAGTGGGCTCCTGGCTGCAGCAGGAGGAGCGTTGCCAGCGGGCGAGGGAGGGGATCCTGCCCCTCCGCTCAGCTCTGGGAGGCCACACTGGAGTATTGGAGCAGTTCTGGGCTCCCCAGGACAAGAGGGACCTGGAGCTTCTAGAGAGGTCCAGTGTAGAGCAATAAAGATGATTAAGGGACTGGAGCATCTATTGTGTGAAGAAAGACTAAGCGAGATGGGCCTGCTTAGCCCGGAGAAGACGGAGCGGGGATCTTGTCAATATTTATGAATACCTGAGGGGTGATTGCAGGGAGGATGGGGCCAGGCTGTTCTCCGTGGTGGCCGGTGACAGGACAAGGGGTAACGGGTGTAAGTTGAAACACAGGAAGTTCCATCTCCATGTGAGGAAGAACTTCTTTCCTGTGAGGGTGCCAGAGCCCTGGCACAGGCTGCCCAGAGAGGCTGTGGAGGCTCCTTCTCTGGAGATCCTCAAACCCACCTGGATGCCGCCCTGTGCTCTGAGCTCCAGGTGCCCCTGCTGGAGCAGGGGGTTGGGCTATATGATCTCTGGAGGTCCTTTCCAATGTTAGCCATTCTGGGCTTCTGTTAAAAGGAATAGAAGAGGCTCTTCTAACTTTGGTTTATCCTGTTTTCCAAGGGAGTAACTGCAGAAAGTGCTTTGTGGCTGGGATCTGAAGGCCTATGCACACTTGGAAGTTTTTATGGAATCACACAATTCTAGAGGAAATAAGCTGGTACAAAAATAGAGTTTTTGTGTTCTTCTTGGCTTTCTTCCAATACGTTTTCGGCGCTAAAGTAGATAGAGACTTTGTATATTTTTCATAAGGTGGAGAAAAAAAGAAAGAAAAAAAAAAAACAAGACTTAATCTCATGACAGTGTATAGAAAGATCCTGAGCTGCTACTGTGGTGGTTTGTAGCACCGTAATGTCCTATCCTGGTAGACAAAAAAAGGACAAAAGGGTGGAAGTTTTCTTTTAATCATCAGGGTTTTTTGAGGTGATAGAGTTACAAAGTTAAATTTTCCTCCTTCCTTGTTCCTTTACTGTTTGTCTGCTCTGTAACAGTAATCCATTTAAAATTTGTGCGCCTCTTTTTGAAGTTATTTTAAACTCTCAGCAGTGTATACAGATATTGTAACCTTGGATAAAAGCACCTCCCATTTGTGGTTTCAGTTTTGCCCTTTCAGGCACGTGGAAAGTGCTCCAGCACATTTCAAGGCTTTTAAACTAGAAACTTCTTAGATACGAGTTATGGTTTCACAGCTTGATTGGTATAGTGTACATCATAGTGTACATCAGTGACTGGTTTTCTGTGTCTTTAGATATTTAACACTGATTAATGCTTTCTGTTGATTTAAAAGAGTGTGTAGACTCTTCACTGCTCATTGGACAAAGTATTTGTTAATAGTCTAACTTTTAAAATTGGAGCAGTTTGCAAACTCCATTTTTATTTGTGCTGAAAGAAAATAAGTCAAATGTATGTTGAGTTCTTTGGAGGTTAATTATGTTGTAGTATAGGCTCTGACAGTTTTGGAGAGAGCCCTCTTTTTACCTTATTTCCTTCCCTGTTTTTATGTGTATGCTGTATAGTTTATCTGTCAGGTGCTGAGTTTAAAGAGTGTTTCATATTCTAGTGTTAGTTAAGATACCCCACATTTTTAAACATTGGAAACTGCTGATCTGTTTGATAATGTGAACAACTCAGTAACACTTCTAGTAGTGCATAGTAATAAGTCATGATAACAATAGAGGAATATTGTGCAAAGAATTAAGAAGACTAGTAATGCCTCTCAAACATTAGTTTTGGATCTTACATAGTTAAAGCTTTGTCAATGACTCCACAAAATATTTTGTATTATTTCTATCAATTTTCAAGGAAAGGCCCAAGCATAACATTATGTTTAATTCCTTATATCTGGAATGAGGACTTACAAACACATTTAACTGGGAGTAGAAATGTGCTGAATTCTTAACATATGCAGTCTTCAATTATTTTAATGTTATTTTTTTTTCTTTTTTAAAGTGTAATTGGTATAACTGTTGAAAAGCAAACTATATGCATTTTGTGAATTATACTGATTTGCTAAAGATTTCTTTATGATTCTTTTTCAGATGCATCCACTCGGATTGTGTAATAGCAATGATGAAGAAGACCTATATGAATATGGCTGGGTAGGAGTGGTGAAGCTAGAACAGCCAGAGTTGGAACCTAAGCCATGCCTCACTGTATTAGGAAAGGTAAGGCAGTAATGAGGTCATATATTCTGAATAATTAGGAATATCTGCTGGATGTAACTGTTTTTTGGAAGGGATAGTTCCTTTCTGAGAAATATCAACAAGAAACAAAACCCTTTTAATCTAGAATATATTCCGTGTTTACCTGTTTTCACACCAGATGCTTTAATGAGAACTAATACAATGAATCAATTGATAGCAATGGTGATAGGGAATTGAGTGCATAAATTCTCTTTTCAATTCTATAAGAGCCTAACAAAGATTTTGGCAAATAAGGCTGTTTACCAGAAGCAATAATTGAGATAAGATAGAGTGCACTGACAATGTAGGGTGGACTACCAATGTGATGCTGAACTTGTTTAAAGGAAGCTTCTCGTCAAAAGCAGATAATGGGAAATCGTTTTCTTATTTGGTACTTTTTTTTCTCAAATGAAGTGTCTTCAGCCCTAGAAGAAATTTCTTTCCTGGGACTGCATGATAGATATCACTGAATAACAAATGAATCTTGTTGTATTGGACAAAAAAAAATGGCAAATTTATCTTGCTGGAGACTCTTGCTGGAGTCTCTTGTGTGAAATAGTAGTTGTTTGACTTAAAGACAAAACAAAGTTGTGTGTGTGTGGAGAAAGACCTTAGACAGGAGAGATTTTGTCAAGAGAGAGAAAAAAGAAATCAACTTATTCCATTTGAAAAAGAAGGGGAAAATCAAAGAGCCTACTATTGTCAGTTTTTGTTTTTCTCATTTACTTTGATTTATCCTGCCCCAAGAGTGGCTTTTCCTGCACTGTTGGATCTGATAGGCAATTACTTCATTTGTCTTTGAGTACAGGGATGGTAAACTCTTGCTATTTCAAAATTCTGTGTGTAGGCCTGCCCAACTGTAGCATCTCTCACAGAGATAAATTGAATATTACAAAATGCAGAACCAATGACACATTGAGAATGTATTGGCATATGTACTGTTGTAGTTCAGCTTTGCTGACATTGCAGATAGCCACATATTATGTGAGATGGATGGCAAAGCCACCCCTCAGTACATGCAGATCTACATTAATGACTCAGATGGGTAAAGGTAAGACTTCCTTGAATGCAAATATTCTTAGCTCCTGGAAAGATGAAGCAGTGTGCATAGGACTGGGAATGCAGAGCTTTTGAGCCAAAAGGCCACAGGAGATTCTGCTTAATCCAGTGCAGTCTTTGTGATCCACAGTACCTACTGCTGAGAACAGATGCATCTCCCATCTGGAATTACTTTATTCTTACTGATGGACATGGGTTGGGGTCTCTTAGGATCTTTTCTTTGGTCTTATTTCCATTAGATGCCATTCTGTGAAAAGAAAGGTAGATCTTGTATGTGGGAAAAGTTACGCGATTGGATCAGTTAGATGTATCGATTTCGTGATAGGAGTGAAGTTGGTGCCATGAAGTTGGGAAAAGTTAAGGACTTGCTTTCTTTCAAAACTGTCGTGGACTTACTGGAATGGTTAAATACCTCAACAACTTAGAGCAAAGTAAAAGGTTACTCTGGCAGAGCCAGGATCCCTTTCCAATTTAGAGCAAATGTGGTCAGTTCCATTTGATTTAGAGAGTTTTCATCAAGAAAGCTAGTTCGAATGGCCTCATCTTTTCTATGAGCTAAGCAGAAATACATGGATGGGGAGCCACCCAGACTCAATTGACAAAATTCTCTCTTGTGTATATAAGGAATGGATACTGTTTTGAGTTTAAGCCTATCTTAATTGGATTGGTTTAAAAGTTCAGACTAATTCAAATCAAATTTGAAATACAAACTATAAGGGAATGTGAAGCTCTTCCTAGTTTAAGAGAGCTAGTTTAAACCTTTTTTGTTAAAATTTCCAAAGTTTTGTGTTGAATAGCCTGCTAGTAGAAGCAAAAAGGCTCTTGATTTTGTGCCTGTAAGGTGAAATTCTTGCATGTATGAAGGAATAAATTTCAAGCTCGTCTTCAAATTGCAGTCGTTGAGGATGAAAAATGATGACGTGTTTTAGGAGATGTGTGCAAAGCTTGGAATGTATTGAGATAAGATGTAGCAAACGCTTAGAAGCTGTTTGTAGTGCTGAATTCCCTGAGGTGTAGATCTGGTATGCAGATATTTTTCTTTTTTGTTGTTGTTGTTGCTTTTGGTAAAACTATCATGAGTGTTTGCAGTAGCTTCATTCCACATGTTTATCCATCTGCCAAGTAAGACCAGTACATGTATAGAATTTAATGTGTCCCTTTGCATATACATTTTTGAATTACTCATTCTTTTTGGTCAGATTTATATGGTGTAATGGAACTGAAAGCACAAGGGTTTAAAAAAAAAAAAAAAAGTCTTCTCCTAGATGGTGTGTGAAAGCTGGACATGGGTTGGGAAAGGGGTGTGTGTGTGTGTGTGTGTGTGTGGCAGCCGTGATTTAACACTGCCTTTGATCAGCACCAGCCCTGTCTAAGGCACTGCTTGCTTACGAGCTGAGCAAAGGCTGGGTTTTTACTGATCTCATGAGTTCTTGAATAGGACTCGAAGGGGAATGACAGAGGAAGAAGAATGCTTTGGAAATGAAAAGGAAACCCCATGAATCCAGCCAGCATTATTGGCTGGATTTGCCTACCAGGGCGCCGCTTGGTTTCTGCCAGGCTAATTCGGCCCCGACTTCTCCTCCCCACCACCCCCTTCCTCCTTTCAGGGGTTTTGTGTGCGTGAGGCATGGTAACGGCACCCGTTCTCAGGCTGGGAACCCACTGAGCCCGTTGCCATGGTCGCTGGGAAGCGCCTGGCGCCATGTGCTTCAAAGGGAACATTTCCCCTGCTGGACTGCTGCTTCCCCAGTGCCACTGGCCTGCAGTACGGCACAGTGCAGCCGGATTCGCTCCCTGCCACCACGATGGCATGACATTGTGTGGAGTGGCATGGCTTGGCATGGCATGGCTACCCCCCAGGATGAGGAGAGCACATGACCTGCACGGTCTGCCCTGCCACAGCCTGCGTTGTGCAGCCAGCAGCAGGTCTTGTGCAGCGTCCTGAGGCCTCTCTGGCCTGGCTGGGTCTGAAGTAAGGACTTCTGCAACCCACCATGGGCCCTGCCTCCTGGTATTTTAATACAAATACTGAGAAAGCATGGAAGGTTTGCTTAAAACTGGAACATCTCCCCTCTTGAGAGGCTGGAGAGCCCCCAGGGAGGGACTTTGTTCCTTGTTTCTTTTCCAAGGACTGCTAACGAGGAACTTCTTGATAGTTCTAGGATGTGTGAAATTGAGAACATGCATCTGTATAGACCCTAGCAAAGAGAGGATATCCCAGCTCCTACAGTTTACCATTTTCTTCACATCAAAGGCATCTCTGAGTATGGGGAAATTCCTAACAGCTCTTGCAATATCCATTCACTTCACTTTGTTTTGAGAGTTTGTTTACAAAACATCTACACAGATATTGATGAGAAGAAGCCCTTGTTTGCTGCATGGTCACTGTGATTGTACTACTTAGGTTGGAGCCAAAATCTTTGTAACTTGACTCTTCATTAAACAATCTAGTTATAATTCCTAATCGTTTGTCTGACAGTTAGTTTAAATGTAAAGATTCCTGTATGGCCATCAAATATGAAATCACAGGATTATGTCAGTAGCTTAGCTCCTGCAGAAAGTGTGATATGTCCTCAGACTAAGGAACTGAGGCAGGGAGGGCCTGTGAGCAGACTTTGTGAATGTACATAAACTAATTGGTTTGTCTTTAACTTCTATACGACTGTTATCCAAGAACAGTAAAAACTTTACTGTGAGCCTGGTTGCAGTTGCACTAAGAGTGGGAGCATAGGTGATTTTACTGTCCAATTTCTGGGCCTTGTTTTGCAATTTTGTTTTTGGTCATAACTACTACGTTCCGTAATGAAGCTCTTGGTGGCTATTTGTGGGAGAAGAAGGACAGAAACTCTGAAATTCAATTGCAAATCACACTTCTGTGAGAACTGTAAAAACGCTCTGCATATTAAGATATGCTAATAGTATGTATGGGTAATCAACAGATGCACTTCCTAATTTGCTAACTGAAAATTTAAAGTATTTCCAAAATCAGACTCTTCATTGGCAGCAATGGTTGGTCACACAAAATAAAGTCTAAGAAGTGCAATCTGTTTAATTTCTTTCCACCCTGTTTTACAGTTGATCGTACATAATGATTTGAGAGTTTCCAGGGAGGCCCTTCTGAGATAAGGAAATATGGTTCTTGGACATGGTACAATTTGTGCTCTAAATACAAAGTAACACTTTACATGCATTTCATAAGTAGTTTTATGTGCAGGTACCACTTTTTTTGGTATGCCTCTCTTGATTTCCTGTGAGTCCACTAAAAAAAAAAAAAAAAAGGATGAAAAAAATTGGACGAATTCTTTTTACAGGAATACCTAGACTTGATTCCTTCTTACCAGCCCTGAACTTGTTAATAAAAGCAGCTTTGAAATATGTCTTGCTCATGTATATAGGGTTTTTTTTTTAAACGCAAAGATGCAAAGTAATTTTGATCCCATTAGTTTTGAGTTGCTGAAAAAGCACAAACTAAACAGAATCAAATTGTACTTTGATATTCATACCCTAAATTAGGCATACAGTTATATATACAAATCAGAATGGCAGTCACTTCATGAGCATGTCTTTTGTTTATGTATAACATCAATGATTAGATATACAGTGTGGATAGTCTCATGTACAAATGGATTCAATTCAGCTACAGAAATGCACATGAAATTGTCAAATGCTTTTCCATGCTGAACTTGCTCAGAAATCTGGACTAAGCTGTGCAGTAGATTAAAATCTAAAACTGATGAGGCATGTCTGAAATCCCTTATCAGTGTTTCTAAAACTCTGCTTATTCAGGCACATTAGCTGATATGGGTAGCTGCAGTAGTGTCTGGCCACCCAACGATGAGTTCTGAGCACATTCAGTGAAAGATGTTGTCACTTCAGGAGAACTTCTTACAACCCTTGAAGTAGTTGATATTGTTTGTCATATC